ATGCAGTGTCTTTATTCACAACTGCTTTAACTGCTTTAACTGCTCATTCAGAGCACTCCAATGAGAAGCAAATGTTACTACTATTTTCTGAGGGGGGTAATTAGAGACACAAAGGATGGGCACAGGACGAGTGAAGGTGGTACACTCAGGGAGTGGCAGAGCTAACACCAAAACTCAGACCTCCCATTCCTTACGTGCCAACTCTGAACTCACCAGTCCAGCAGTCAAGGCTTTTACTCCAAGATGTCCACCACATCCAGCAAAGGTGCCCGTGAAATGCTATCATCTGCTTGATTCTCAGCTACGTGCTCAAGTGCATATAATTCAGAGGAAAATATGAACATCAAATGTACAATATAAAAAGTATGAACCGTTTCCCTGTTCAAAGCCCAATCTGAAACTGCAGGGAGGGTGGGGATGCTGGGGGATCTCTGGGGGAGTTTCAAAGCCTCTAGCTGAATATATCGAGGCTTTTTTGTTATTGTTGTTTTAATTTGTAGCAAAGACTGGGAGAAGAAAGAGAGATTCTGAAGTGGACTGAGCACCAGACACTGCCTTTACATGGCCTGTAAACCTTAGAGAGACTCACTAATGCTGAGACCCCATCATCCCCAAATCCCAAAGATGGCTGGTCAATGTAGGTTGGTCCTGCTTCCAAAAGCCTAGAACTCTAGACCTGCACCTTAGAAGAAAGCAAACCCCCGGCAACTGGTCTGGAGGACTGAATCTGAGGAAAGACATACTCCCCTAGGTAGACCCAAGACCACTCAGGCAAGTGCACTAAGAAAAGAGCCCTGGCTCTGTCTCCAAGAAGAGGCCCCTGTCTGCGTGGAAAGGCAAAATCGCGCAGTGGTTAGGAAGATGGGATTTGGCATCAGACAGACAAAAGTTTATATCCAAGCTTTATGCTTGCTAGCTGTCCAAGTATGGGCAAGGAACTAACTCAGAGCGTCAGTTTCCTCAGGTATAAAATGAAATAGAGTTAAGGACGTAAGTCATGGGTTTGTTTTGAAGATTAAGAGATAATGCCTGTAAAGCACTTAACATGGTGGCTGACACATAATAATGGCTCAATAAAATTTTTTTCAAATCTGTGATAAAGCCTAAGAATCATTTCCTTGTTGGCAAAGAGCCCTGTCACCAAGTCCAATTCTCTACCATGGAAATAAGGCTTGTGGTTTTCTGAAATGTGTATGAACATCCAGATTAGTTTAACTCTGTCCCACTGGGATAATCCTAGGCCTTTGAGAAAAATGTTAATAAATTCTATCTATACACAACAGAGTCAAATGCTTCCAGAGACTCAGAAGTGAATTGCTTTCCAGGTTACTGCTATCTCAACTTAAATGATGATTTACTTCCACCCCTCTCTCTCTCTCCTCTCCTTCTGGGACTCCCATTATGCATACATTGTATGCTTGATGGTGTCCCATAGGTCTCTGAGGCTCTGCTCATTTTTATTCATTCTTTTTCTTTCTGTTCCTCAGACAGGATAATTTCATTCGACCTATCTTCAAGTTCACTGATTCTTTCTTCTGCCAGCTCAAATCTGATGATGAGATTTCTAGTCAATTTTTCATTTCAGTTATTGTATTTTCAACTCCAGAATTTCTATTTGGTTCTTTTTTATTTCCGTCTTTATTGATATTCTCCATCTGGTGAGACATCATTCTCTACTTTTCTTTCATTCTTTAGACATCGTTTCTTTTAGTTCTATGAACACATTTACAATAGTTGACTTACAATTTTGTCTATTATGCCCAATGTCTGGGCTTCCTCAGGGACAGTTTCTATTAAGCGTGTATGGGCTGGGCCATGCTTTCCTGTTTCTTTGCATGTCTCATAATTTTGTGTTGAAAACTGGACATTTTAAATATCACGTCAACTGAGATTCTCCTCCCTCCCCAGGATTTCTTGCTGTTGCTGCTGTTTGTTTAGTGACTTTCCTGGACTAACTTTGCAAATTCTGTATTCTTTCTCATGTGCCACTGAAGTTTCTGCTACATCAGCTTTGTGGCAAGCTAATGATTAAACAGAGATTTCCTTAAACATCTTAAACCAATAAGTCTCTGCCTTTACCAAGGACCTCTCTGTCTGTGTTGGGGCTCACCTTTAATGCTCTAGCAGGCAGGTGACAACTCTGCCTTAGCCTTCACTTCCTGCTTGCACAGAGCCTCAAGGTCAGCCAGAGGTGAGAGTTTAGGGCTTGCTCAGATCTTCCCTGGGCATGTGCACAGCTCTGCATGTGCATGTGGACTTCAAGATCCCTAAGAATATTTCAGAGTTTTTCAAAGCTCCCATGGACATCTCAGTCTCCAGATTTTCCTTTCAAGATTTTTGGCCAGCCTCTTGTTTGCCCCAACTGCTATTGCTACCTCAGACAGCTATGACATTAAACAGTAATTATTTTCAACAAATTCCCAAGAAATTGGGCTTTCCCACTGAGCAAGTTCTGAGTCAGGTCAAATACAAGCAAGTCCTCTGAATGGGGCTTTTCCAGAGACCTTCCTGATAGGTCAAATAGTGACCTAGGGTTGGGGCACTGGGGAAGCTCCAAAAGTGTTTTGCCCCCTCCAGTGGCTGTGAGGCTGCCAGTTTTCACTGCTCCTATGGCTGCAAGACTGCTGGTTTTCACAACTACCAGGGCTGCAAGGCTGCTGGTTGTCAAGGCTACAGCAGAGCCTGGGACAGGGGTCTAAAAATAGAGCAAGTTAAAACACATAGCTCACTATTCTTACCATTATTCAGCCATTTTTTTTTTGAATAAATGTCCCTTGGATTATTGTAGGCCTTTGGTTAAGAGTTCTGAAGAAACTGATTTTGACAATGTTTGCCAGTGTTCTTGTTGCTTTATGGAGGAACAGATTACCTAAGGTCCTAACTCCACCATTCCAGAAGTGCTTCTCTATTTATTTCCTGTGTTATCATTTAACCAAATAGATAAGAGTGTCCAGAAGTACAGGATTAAAACCACTCCACCAGATTAAAGACCATATAAACAAGCAGCCATGGAAGAAGGAAAGAGAAGTAGTTGCTTTGCTCCCACAGCATGGCCCAGAGCTGAGTCCCTCAACGACCAGGAGCAATGCTGGTTCCTGTACATTTTGTTCTTGTTTCTTGTTTTCATGGGTCAATGACCTGAACCTGCAATCAACCCAGCCTCCAGCACTGAAGACCACAGCCTCTGGAATTGGACCATTGCCCAGTTATTACCACCATCACCATTCTCATCCATGGAAAATATTTATTAAGTACTCATCTGCCCTAGAACCCCAAAGTAGGCTCCAAATACCCTGCTGTCAGATGCAATAAAGTTTATGGTGGTCAAAGATCAATGCACTGAAGATGTTTAATTCTAGGGAAAAGTGAAAATTCTTAGAGTCATGGAATCCTGAGTCTGGAAGGGACCCCAGAGGTCATCTGATTTCACTATCCATCTATAGCTTGATATTCCCCACAATATCCCCACAAAGTGGCTGGTCTCACCCACACTTGAATACCTCCCAGTGACAGGCAACTCATACCTTCTTTAGTTGGACATCTTAAGTATTAGAAACTTGGTCTTTATATTGTGGATGACTACAGAGACATACTCAGAACTGAGACGCTGGAGAGAATGAGGAACGGAGACCTGAGACCTTGAAGACTAATCTGGTCATCTAGAGCTACTCCAGGTGAGAGGACATCTAACTTTTGTGCATGCCTGAAAAAAAGGATGATACCACCTTTATCTAGCTAAAGGGCATCAATAGGCCTAAAATGAAACCATGGTACAGTTCCAGGAAGGAGTATAGGCAACTATGGAACAGCTATTAAGAGTACAGGCTTTGGAGTTAGACAAACCTGTATCTGAATCCTGGCTTTGCCTCTTAAAAGCTGTGTGTTCTTGAATTAGTTACCTAATCTCTCTGAGTTTCAGTTTCCTCATCTGTTAAATGCGGATAATCATAGTACCTACCTCACACGGATATGGTTAAATAAAATCATATAAGAAAAGTCTTGGCACACAGTAAATGTTATTGTTCTTATAAAACACATGGTTTGTGACCCTAAAGAAAACGTGAGGTTATAGCCAACTGGGGTTTCACTAAGAATAAGTCATGTCAAACCAATCTCATTTCTTTTTTTCTTATGGTTACTGAGCATGTTACATACATGTTAACTCTTGATTTTAATCATGCTAACTGGTAGATTAAATGGTCAAATGTAGGCTGGACAGCAGTAGAGTTGGGTAGATCTGTAAAGACACTCTTTAATGGAATGCCACGAGGCTCTGTCCTTGCCCTGGTCTGGTCCAACATTCTCATTAAAGGTTGGGAAGAAGATGCAGGATATACCATGCTGGAAAGGCAAGCCAATACACTAGCATAAATATTCAAATTTATCTTACCAAAAGCCAAGAAAATGAAATGAGAGAGGGATGTGCCTTTGCATTCAGGTAAAAATGGAGTCAATATTACCAGATGAAGGAGGATTGGTTGAGGAGTGGTTCATGTGGCAAGACTCATGTATGCATTCATTCATTCCTTCATTCATTCACTCATTCAATAACCGGTGGTGTATCCACACCAGGCTGGCCACTGCTGAGGAACTATAAAGAGGGAAAGACATAAATCCCCACTCTTAGGGAGTTCACAGTCTAGTTGGAAGACAGATCCGGAAACAGTTTTTTAAAAATTATAAGTGTTACGATGTACCAAGAACAGCACAATAAAAGAGGGAAGGTCACCTAATACTGCTTTATAGCAGTGATACTGAGATGAGACTTGAAGGATCAGTGGGCATTTGTCAGACAAACTGACATGGGAATGAATGGTTTTCTAAGTGAACTCTACGGAACATGCAAAGGCCCTGAGGCACAGCTGGCTCTTCTGGTTGAACCTAAACAGTGACTTTACATACATATTTGGAATTTGGAAAAAGTAAGAAGCATAGACACATCAGGCCTCTTATCTCACAGTCTCCATTCAAGTACACTCCTGAACACACCTGCACCTTACCATAGGTGATGACAAGCAGCACAAAGTTGAGGTTTTTGAAGAGTCGGGCGATGGAATTTAAGTATGAAGCATCAGGGGACGCCAAGGCATAGCTCAGGGATTGGGCCCTGCTGGGGGGATGTTTAGGCTTCTCCTTGAATACTGAAAGGAAACAAAAAGAGAGATGACTGCAAATCCCTGTGGTCCCACCCCCACAGAGCTGACACATGAAGGAGAGCTGGCTCCCTCATCTGAGAAGGAACTAAGACTCCAAAAGGAAATTTTTTTTTTTGAGGAAGATTAGCCCTGAGCTAACATCTGTTGCCAATCTTCCTCCTTTTTCCTTTATTTTTTTTTCCCCCAAAAGCCCCAGTAGATAGTTGTATGTCATAGTTGTACATCCTTCTAGTTGCTCTATATGGGACGCCGCCTCAGCATGGCTTGATGAGCGGTGCATAGGTCTGCGCCCAGGATCCGAACTGGTGAACCCCGGACCGCCGAAGCTGAGTGCACAAACTTAACCACTAGGCCACTGGGCTAGCCCCCCAAAAGGAAATATTAATTATTCAATTAACTCCTTTACAGCCTCCTCTCTTGAGGCTGCTTCTCATTGTCTGTGGCTGAGTGAGCAGTCCTTTGATTATCTTTTCTTAATGGCTTCTGGATGGCTGCAAATCAGTGGGCCTCCCGGGCAATGTTCAAGGATCAAGGAGTCCCATAATACCCAGAAAATAACATACCACAGAGCACTGAAAACATGCAATAGTAACATATGGATAGAAAGGAAGTCAGGGCTGAGGCTTTGGTATTCTGGTATTAATACCCAATTAATGGCTTACCCCCAGGGCTCCTCCCGAAGGGGAAGGGACTGTGTTGCCCATGATTAGCACAGAGCCTGGCACACAGCAGCCAAGAATTATTCCCTGAATAAGTGAAAGGATCTTCTTCTTTTGGAAGAACCTCAAGTTCATTCCTAGTTTCTCAAAGTCTGAATCAGACATCTGCCTCACGAAGAGACAAGAGGATCCTGCAGGAGTAGCCACTCTGATATGAAGGACTGGGGACGGACAATGGAAAACCATTCATTGTATATTCTTTTTTCAATACAACTGGTACAGTCAATTTGACTGCACAGATTGCTATTCAGTTCTCTGGGGGACAGATCACTTTAGCTAGTTGTTTGGCTAAACTGGTCCTCCAACTGGGTCCAAGCAAGCACCACGTGGCCCCCCCCACACGCCATGAGAACACTCCTGAAAGGTCAATAGGCTATCTCCAGTTAGAAGCAGCTCTGGAAATGAGGTTTACTCTCTTGAAGATCAAAGGGGCCCCCACCCAGAAAACCCTCCAGCCCCGACTTCAGAGCCTGGCTTCTTCCTTCTCCGGAAATAGTCCTGGATGACTTCCCACCACTGGGAACCTCTCATCCATTGTCTTGCCTATTCACCTCCCCTTCAGGCGGAAAGAGCAAGGCAAGAGGTTATTTATCTCTGCAACAGCAGGGGTTTGCTCAAGGACTTGGCAACCACAAACCAGAATCCAGATAAGATTTCTCAGTTCTTTACTCAATGAGCTACTATCTGTGCTTGATAATAAAATGCCAAAATGTAGCAATGTCCTATCTCCAGGATGTCAACAGCAAAGAACCAAGCCCTCATCTGCTACAAACATAAGAATTTGGAGGTGGGAACATTACAACTTGAAACTTCAAGTTTGCTGATTAAGAGGATCCCTGGCTGGGGCCGGCCCGTGGCTTAGCAGTTAAGTGCGCGCGCTCTGCTGCTGGCGGCCCAGGTTCAGATCCCGGGCGCGCACCGACGCACCGCTTCTCCGGCCATGCTGAGGCCGCGTCCCACATACAGCAACTAGAAGGATGTGCAACTATGACATACAACTATCTACTGGGACTTTGGGGGAAAAAATAAATTCAAAAAAAAAAAAAAAAAAAAAAAAAAAAAAAAAGAGGGTCCCTGGCTGGACTGTTCTTTCTTGCTCTCATCCACGGCTCCACAGCTTCTCAGCCTTCCAGGAACACCAAGTCCTCTGTCCAAGATATGCTGCCAGCTTCTGAAGCCATCAGGCGGCCCTTCCTCAGCTTGGATGCCGGGGAGGGAACAACACAGTGAGAACAGTGTAATGAGGTACAGATTATAAAACTGACTCTGGAGGTGAGGCCGGCAGGAAGGAAGGAAACCTTTAACATGTGTGGTGGAACTTTCAGATGTTAGGAGAAAGCTGGTTAACCTTTAAAGACGGGTGACTAACTGAAAATGAAAACCTCTACTATGCTGTTTTTGAATTTATCACAGCCCGTCATATCACTCAGATGATAAAAGAAGATATAAAATTAACCAAATATCTCAATGATTCAATGTACATGCATATAAAATTAACAGTAGTTATCTGAGGTTGGTCATTTGGATTAACTGGTACAAGGCTAAATGAATGGTCATTCTTTTTTGTATTTTCTAGATTTTTCCATAATGAGGATATTACTTTTATAATTTAAAAAAGAGCATTAAAAAATGTGGTCCCAGTCATTCTCAGGTCAATCTATGAGAGTATTAGTGTTGTGGCTCAATTCTGTTTTGTTTTGTTCCAGAAATTTTGAGTATGGAGTTCAATAAGTTTAGGCTTGAATCCAATCTCTGCCACTTACTAGCTCCCTAATCTTGAATAATTTAGTAACTTGCCTTAAGTCTCCTTTTCCTCTTTGTTAAATGAGAGTGATAATGGTACCTTCACTCACAGAGTTGTCAAGGATTAAGTGAGATCAGACATGCTCAGTACAGTGCCTGTGATACCATAAGTGCTCACTGGGGTTTCAACAATGCAGCAGTCTGCATGTGAATTCTGGTGAGGTCATATTGGCTTAATTACAATTAAACCTTTACTGAGCTGCTAACAAAGTAAACAGGACTGGCTAGCACTGTATTGGTAGCAAGTGAGCAGGTAAAAACATTTGAAGACCATTAGAAGCCAGGTCTCCAGTTTCTATAAATGTCCATGGTACTCTAGAGCCATGTTCACCACGTCCCCACCCAAGTCAGCGGAACCTCCTTACCTCCCAGCCTCCCATCAGTCTACTAATGACCTTACCAATGATGACAAGGATGAAAAGCAGAGTGGCTACACCTCCTATTATGTAGAACATGACGCTGATGTGGTAGGCAAGCTTGTCCCGATCTTCGATGTTGGGTACCAAAACAGGAGGGACCAAGAACCCAATCGCAATTCCAAGCTATAAAAGACAGAGACAATCAATTACAGTTACCAATGGCCAAGAGATCACAGCACAAATTTAAGGAGACTCCTAATAAGAAACATAATCAGGAACCCCCTAAAAACCCCCCTCAAGATACCAGAGAGATCTCTCTTTTGATTGACAACTCAACTCACACACCCCTGACCACCCTCACTATCAACACCAATTGGAAACAATGATAGATGGGTTCTCAATGCAGACTGGCTCTCCTGTAGCTGCAAACTGATGAACAATGGTTCCTATACTTCCATCTCTATGGTAGAGTAAAACAATGTTGATTTTTTTTTTCATGCCACTTAAATTCTTGATTTCACTGAATCTGTTACCCTGGAGTTGAGAGACCAGCTGAGGGAAAAGTTCTACACCCTACAACCCCAAGAACTTGCATTCAGTAAGAGATGGAAGCCTGAAGTTGTTACCACATTTACAAACATGACAGCTTAAGTTCATTGTGTAAATAACTTAGTAATTTATAAAGCATCTGTAGTGTGAAGTCACACGCAATGTTAAGTGAACATAAGTGAGGCCATCTTGTTATACTAAATGGCCCCAGCCCCTCCTCCATGTGACTACTCGCTGCTCTGCATGTACTCTAAAAAAATTCACATGCTCTCCTGATTTATGGCCTCTGCTTACGTGGGTACTCCAATATAGCTTGATAAATTAAAACTTTGTTCTATGAGTTTCTCTCTAGGAACAGGCTGACCAAAGGCGAGAAACACACCTACAAGATATTCATCATCACTGGCAGAAGAAAAGAACAATGAAAGACTCTGGAGTCATCATGCTTGAAGGCTGACATTTCTAACCCCCCTCCTTACTGCCCACTTTCCCTATATAACTACCTCGAGATTCTGTAATTCTTGAGAATTTTGAGACATTAGTTTGCTAATGTCTTCCCAATTATGCCGGCTAATGGAATTAAAGCTCTCTTTCTCGATCCCTAACTCGTTGTGATTGATTGGCTCAGACCACAGCGAGCACAGCGAGCCCATTGCTTGTTAATAGCAACTGCATAAATTTATACACACATGGAAACTGGCTATAAACACACACACACACACACACGCATGCACCAACAAATTAAAACATCTCATATCTGCGTGGAAGTTCAAACTCCAGTGACCTGACAGATAACGTGACTTGGGTGTTTCTGAGGTCAGAAATGCCTTGCTTCAGTAGTGACTAGCTATGATACAACTCCTGGATGCCCTTCTGCCACACGTAATACCAAGGCAGAAATTGGAAAATAGTCTGAGAACCCAGGCAAGCCTCAAATCCTAAGAGTGAAGGAAGATGAGTAAGTCTTTTGTCTTAAGGTCCCACTTTTCCTTTATTGTATTTGAAAGGACCTGCAGGTAGAGAAGCAATTTCCTTTCATGCCACCCTATAACACGGGTTCTAGGTACTTCCGCCGTAGGCACCTTCGCCGCAAGCATTTTCGCTGCAAACATTTTTGCCAATGTCTAATTGTTCATAAGGCAATTTTGGTATAAAAGATAACATAACTGGTTGACAGTTTCGTTTCAACTGCTTGACACTTTGGTTTAAGTTCTCCATTGACACAGGACTACCATTTTTATCTTATATAAACCTTAGCTCCACATTTCCCATAGAACTTTGGAACATGTATCAATGGACATGTGACAACACGCCAAGAACAAACAACAGCGTAGAAGGCTTTTCACAACGCAATTCAAAGCTCAGTTACAAATATGGATCCTAGCTTTTGGAAACTGACACCTCTCTTAACGAAGGAAGAAATTTTAGTGAAAACGAAGTGTGATGGATGCTGAACAAGGAGATGAATCAACAAGCAAAAAAAAAAAAAGTATAATACTATGAATGAAAGACTTTGAAGACAAGTGCTTAGATACATCCCACAAAATAAAATCAGTTATTTGCACAGTATTGCCGTGAATCTACACACATTTTAAATGTATTAAAATATTTTGTATTTCGAAAAAGTCTCTTTAATTTTGTTATTCATTTTTCATGTTTCATAACTGTCCTTTTTAATGTCCCTCTTTTATTTTTTGTGATCTCTATCCTTTACAGCAAAATTGCCTTATGGCTGATTAGTTATGCAGCGAAAATGTGGCAAAGACGTCTACAGCAAAGATGCTTACAGGGAAAACAGCAGACACATACAACACCATGCATCATCTGCCAATCTGGTGACCGTCTTGATTGGTTTTCCAGCCTGTCAACTATACGTACTGAGGATGGTCACTAGTGGCTCTCAGCTCTGGAATATTCACAAAAGTCATCACCAATAGGCTCAGTATAGGGTTCTTCCAAAGTATGCCAGGATACACTCAATAAATCAAACATCTTTAAAGCATCTACTATGTGAAAAGTATTCTGCTAGATGTTTTAGGAGGTACCGAGATATATATGGCAGGGTTCCTGCCTTCAGGGAGCTTTATAATCTAGTGGGGGCAGGGGGCATTTAAAACAATGATACAAAAGATTAACACAAATGGGGATACTTGTAGGTTGAAATTATAGAATGTTATAGTTTCAGAGTTCCTTTGTCATCCTCTACTACAACCTGATCATTAGAAGAACAAACGGAGGATAGGTAAGGCTAAACTGCAGAGGTGAAGTGACTTGTTCAGGTCATACAGAGTTGAGGTAAGAAAAATAGATCTCCTGGCTTCTCAGGCCAGTGCCTCCTCCACTGGGCCTGGCCTGGTCCCTCCAGGACCAAGAGCCTTGAGAAAGGCCCAAGTGAGCAGGCTTCTCCAGAAGAGAAGATACTTCATATCCTCGGAGCTTTATCCTTTCCTCAGTCACACAGATTTGTCAGACTCGAGTCCGGCTTCTTAAATGCTGATCTCCAAGACTTTGAGGGTAAAAACCAGCCACAGGGGCCGGCCCGGTGGCGCAAGCGGTTAAGTGCGCACGCTCCGCTGCGGGGGCCTGGGATTCGCCGGTTCGGATCCCAGGCACGCACCGACGCACCGCTTGTCAAGCCATGCTGTGGCGGCGTCCCATATAAAGTGGAGGAAGATGGGCATGGATGTTAGCCCAGGGCCAGTCTTCCTCAGCAAAAAGAGGAGGATTGGCAGATGGTAGCTCAGGGCCGATCTTCCTCACAAAAAAAAAAAAAAAAACAAAAAAAAAAAAAAACCAGCCAAAGACAGAAGGGCAAACACAACCTTCATAGCTGGGAGCTCATATGACCATGGGCTCACTGAAGGTCATAGCTAGCCTTAGCCTAAGCACTTCAGAGTTGGAGATCTAGAAGTTGAATAGAATCCCCAGGGTCCCTTTGGCAAGAACGAGGGAAGATATGGGACATCACCCAAGGCTCTGTCATTCTTTCATTCCCAAAGGACCCTGATGTAGGATAACCTAATCCCCAGGAATCTTCTGCCTCGAGAAAAAGTCCTCCCAGCCGGTTGTACACTACATGCCTGACCCCTCAGAGGCTGGACTCCATTCTCCGCCTGCACACTAATGATGAGTGAGTGCCATTCCACCTCAACTCCAGCACTGAAGCCTTCTCCAGCCAGCAGGATGGAGCAGCCAGCCACAGGGGCCCACGGTAACCCTGGTCAGAGAGCGACACTGTCTCACAGTGACCTTTCTCCAGGAGGAAATTAGCCTTGGAGGTACCTTCATGCCCAGTGTGGAAAACCAAAACATAGAGATTAGACTGAAAAATTCTGCCTTTTCTGTTTTTTCAAGTCTTTTTTTCCCTGCTTCTTGAGAGCTGTGTTCAGTGAGAGTGTACAGCTGTATTCTAGCTCCTGGTTCCTAAGTCTGTCCCTTAGTAGGTACTCAGTCATGCTGGCCGGCTGGACAGATGGACAGATGTACGTTGGCAGAAACTCTTGTCTACACAAAGATGCCAATATCACACAGTCCTGCCCATTAGGGTCTGTGTTCTTTCTACAAACCACATTGTAGAAACCACTGTGAAGTGGTAAGGAAAAACATGTGTACAGGGGAGAGTTGGGTGAGGGTAGGAAGGCCGAGCATTTCCTGAGCATCTACTATGCACCGAGTATCTAACGTAATTTATCTTTTTCATTTAACCCACGAAGCTTACAACAAAGACAAAACTGAGAAAAACTGATGGTGAGCACCCTGTCCAAGGTCACACAGGCAGCTAGCAGAAGAGCTGAGCCCTTAAACCAGTTCTGTCTGACTCCAGAACCCGAGCTCACCTCCTGCTTCCCATGAAATGTTGACGTGATACCAGTTCACACAGAAGCCCGTATATTCACCCACCTGAGTTCTGTCAAGCACTCAATAGGACACCACTTGGGTAAATCTCAGAGACCTGCAGCCCAAGGTTACTTCCAATAGATGGGAGAATGCTGCTCTGGGAGGGTGGTGCGGGTACCTTTCCTGTGCTCACACAAAACAGAGACCCAGGCCATGAATGTAAACAATTAAAAATCACCGCTAACTGGTTGTGACTTGGCTTATGTCCCAGCATATGTTCTAGTTTTATCCTTCTCAACAAAATACCAAGTTACACAATACACAGTCAAACCAAGTCAGAGTCTTAACTCATCAGGAATTTGTTGTTTTTAGTGCTGTTAAGTCAACTTTAACTCCTAGCGACCCTGTGGACAGCAGAGCAGAACCCTGCCCAGTCTTTTTTTTTTTCAATTGTGAAATTTTGTTGTACAGTATTGTTTGTCAGTCACCATATATATGCCTCCCTTCACCTCTTGTGCCCCTGGTAACCACCAAGCAGTTCTATCTGTCAGTGTGTTGGTTTATCTTCCACATATGAGTGAAATCATACAGTTTCTCTTTCTGGCTTATTTCACTTAACATAATACCCTCCAGGTCAATCCATGTTGTTGCAAATGAGACGATTTTGTCTTTTTTTTATGGCTGAATAGTATTCCATTGTGTATATATACCACTTGTTCTGTATCCCATCATCAGTCAAGGGACACTTGGGTTGCTTCCAGGTCTTGGCTATAGAGAATAATGCTGCGATGAACATA